CTGGGGGTCAGCCCCCCCAAATACTCCCATTTTAGCCCCCCAAATCGTGCGGGTTTCTGTGGCGCGGTGCGGTAGCGCGTGGCGCCATCGGGCCCAGCCCGTGGTCGCTGTGCGGGGCACTGGTCCCGGGACCGCGGGGGTCTGGGGGGTCCAGCTGCTGCGAGCCGGTCGCCCTGCCTCGGATGCTGCCATTTGCCGCTGGCTCGCTTGCTTTCTCCGGACTTGGGAAAGCTGGCGGCAAACGGCCCCTGGGAAATTTTGAAGGCAGCTGTAAGACGGTACGTCGGGGTTGTTTGCCTCACGTCGACATTGCTGTTGTACGCGCCCGACACGCGCGTGTGTACCCGTGTGCGTGTGCATGGACAGGCGTGTATATACATGTGGATAATACAGAACGTTTAAGGACGTTTCATTTTGCATCACGAACGTGAGACGATTTAGTAGCTCTGTGTTTATTCGCGGTGGTGGGTAAAGTTCAGACACGTTCGTCTTCCTGAATCTCTGTTTGAAAAAGTGACGCTGCCGATTCGCTTGTCAATGACACATGGTGGCGTTTTCGGTATATGATATCTCGCTGTAAGATCAGTGACCCGGCAGCTTAATATTGATGCTTTAAGGGACCGTTCTGGCATCGCCAGGTTGGAGACTCTGATTTCCCATCGGTGAAGTTAAGCCGGATTTAGGAGTTGAAGGGGGCGGTTGAAGGTCTGAGAAGAAGGAAGGAGCTGGGGATGGGAGGGAAGTTTTAGAGGAGCTGAAGTAATTGAGGTCTGGCTCTCATATTTAAGCTTGCTATGTCCGTTTTACTGCAACGTACAAAAAGGCGCTTGTTCCACATCGTTATTCTTACTGCATCGCATAAGCACATAGGTGTCTTGCAAACATTAGACACCTTTTGTAGACTCTGCCCTGCTTTAGGTGCTGGGAACGTATTATGATAAGCGAATACGACAAGCACAAGCAATATCGTTAGACTACAAAGTGCAGCAGCTCTGGCAATGCCGTTGAAAACGGTGGTGCTGAATGATGCAGCCTCAGAGCATGGGTGGAGTTAAAGTGGGGAGGCTGCCCTTTGTTTGGAGAAGAAATCTTATCATTCAGGCTGCAGAATCAGGACTCCATTGATTTCCTTTGCATCTGGAGGATGCCATCTGAGCTGTCGTCTGATCGCGTCTTGTGTCTTCATCTGGCATAATATTCTAAAGAGCAAAATCAGGTGAATGATTTATTTGCTTCTCTTGAATTTTTTTTGTTCTGCTGTTTTGCTCTTGCATCCAATGTCAGGCTCTCGGAGCGGCTTTGCCTCCATTTGCAGGAACCGGCACTCCTCTCTAATGAACCCACAGCTGACTACAGATGCCGAAGCATTGGTTACTGCATGGTATTAAAACTGTTCCCCTCCCCGGCAAGAGGAGGGAGCAATGCATCAGTACAGCAGTTAGTAATCATCAGCATCTATACGTGACCCTTGTCTCCAAAAATTACCTTGTAGGGATGACACTTCCAATATTAATGTGCCTTGGCTAGCTGGAGAAGTCGGTTGATTATGTGATACTGAGCCTGGGTTAGGCACTTCAAAGTCATTGTGTATATGTTATATTATGCTATATTATGTTACATTATATTAGTACTAATATGCTAAGAAAAGACAGCTATATAAGAACATATTGTAAAGGAGTTTACTCCATACCTTTAATTGTATTTGGGACATCATCTCTCATTTAGTGAAGTTGATTGTAAAACTCCCATCAAGTTATTCCCCTGGACATCTGCAGTACTGTGTCCAGTTCTGGGCACTACAGAAAGGATGTGGACAAATTGGAGAGAGTCCAGCAGACAGCAACGAAAATGGTTCAGGGGCTAGGAAACATGACTGATGAGGAGAGGCTGAGGGAATTGGGCTTATTCAGTCTGGAGAAGAGGAGACTGAGAGGGGATTTAATAGCAGCCTTCAACTCCCTGCAGGGGGGTTGCAAAGAGGATGGAGCTGGGCTGTTCTCAGCAGTGGCAGATGACAGAACAAAGAGCAATGGGCTCAAGTTGCAGCAAGGGAAGTCGAAGTTAGATATGAAGAAGCACTTTCTCCCTAGGAGGGTAGTAAAGCACTGGAACAGGTTACCTGGAGAGGTGGTGGAAGCTCCATCCTTGAAGGGGTTTAAGACCCAGCTTGACAAAGCTTTGCTGGGATGATCTAGTTGGGGCTGGTCCTGCTTTGAGCAGGGGGTTGGACTAAGTGACCTCCTGAGGTCCCTTCCCACCCTCATTTATGATTCTGAGTTAACTGAGGTAAGAAATAAGCCTTTAAGATGGTAGATTAGTAATGGAACAGAGAGCCCTACGGTCCTGAAAGCTGTCTGCTAGCACTAAATATGGATTTTAGCTAACAAAGGGGCAGACAAGTGACACGAGCAGGATACGTTTTGCTTTCACATTGCTCATTATTCATTCCCCAGGTAGACTCCTTTACCTTCAGTGTATCTGCAGTTATCTTGTTTCTGCAATAGCTGATCTAATCTAAAGCCAAACATCCTGTCTCTGGACACAACTTATTCAGAAGACACAATATTTGCAAGGTAGGCCAGAAAACAAAATGAATGTCTGTGGTGAGAACTGACATGCTCTGTGCTTTTTAAAAACCAAAGAAAATGCTTGAGTTTGAAATGTTGTCAGATGCTTGCTGACAGGTAGTGGGGCAGCTTCCTGCAGCTCTAAAGATGGAAAATCTTGTTGCATATAATTGAAATCCTAAAAGAGTACATTGTTTTTGTCTGTGACTTCAATTATTCAAAAGGCTGAAAGCTGGAGTTCAAGGCCAAAGCTGTTAAAAGCCCTGAAACATAAAAAGTGCCAAAAAATGATGTCCCTTCAGTAACACTGTGATGTCTGTTTTGGGGGTAATAGAGCTTGGGAATAACTTTACAGGAGCTACTGTATTCTAGTTTAAGATGTGCTGCCTTTGTGGTAGAGATCAGATGCTCAGAGGGAACATCTGTCTGAGAACTTCATTTAATTTTGCTCTCTTCTCTTATAAACCTGATCCTACTCAATCAGAAGTGCAAGTGTATGCTCCTGGATCTCGTTCTGTATGCTTTTTACAAGTACTTGGTCTAGTAGATCTCCAGGGCTACATAGACCAGGGATATTCAGTGACTATGCTTGGAGTTAGTAAGGGGAGTAGAGCTGTAATGGCATATGGCTACACTGATGACTACTTACGTTTGCTCATTTGTTAATAATGCTTTTATTTAAAAAATACAATTAAGGAAGAAACAGCAGCAGAATGACAAAATCCCCACTGTTTGTCCTCTGCATCCTTTGCTTTTAAACCCTTGTTTTGAACAGAACGAATGAAGATACAAACATTGATGCATTAGCCTGTCATTGGAAGTCATTACTCTAGAACAGTCCCGTCTCCAGCTATGAAACAGTTTAACAAGAAAATGAGAGCAGTAAAATACTTCCCATTCATGTTTGTAGTGCCAAAATACTGCACGTATGTTATAGGACTTCCCTGGAAATTATCACAAAGGAGCTAAACATAGGAATGACTGAATTCCCGCTTTTTCGCCTGAAACATCATTGTAATCCAGAGAGTGGCTGTATCTTGAGATCTGTGCTCTACTGCTGAGAGTAAACTATTGCTCAGCATGTGCAAGTACAGTGGTTGAAGGCAATCAGGCCTGTAGTTTAGGTTGAAGAGCTGCACAGGTCCAGTGTGTTTGCCTGTTGGTGTAGGGGTAGGCCTGTTTATCCAAGGAACACAATATCCAAGTTCAGGGAAAAGTAAAGGGAAAACTAGTCTTAACGAAGCACTGAGATAAAAAAAATCAAGTGTCCAGAATCAGGGCATTCCAGAGATGACGACAGATCCTTTTTCCTCTTGTGTTTCCTACAGCACCAACACCAGGAGCTCTGTTTAAAATAATATGGAAAGGACTTAATGAGGCACTGCTGTCAATGAAAAGCCTTGGAGCTTTCTCTCTTGCTCTCTCACTTTTAATGGCATGTGGCTGCAAACTCATGTACTTCTGTACACTCCATGGGCTTGTCTACACGTGCACTTTAATGCACAGTAGCCTATTTTACTGCACATTAAGGCATCACGTAAAAATCTGTGGTGTTATGCTAATTCACAGTAAAATAGGCTACTGAGCATTAAGCATCACTTAAAAACCGCGTGCATTTGTTAATGCTCATTAAGGAACCTAATGCGCGTTTATTTAGTACCTCATGTTAGAGATACTAAATCTAATACGCATTAGGAAAAGTGCCTTAATGCATGTGCAGATGCGCCCAATATGTTCTTGTGAGGGAAAGAATTGTCTTCTAAATAACATGAGGCTAAATTGTGCTTTAACTGAAGTCAGTGGGAGTTCTGTTGACTTCAACAGAAGTAGGAGGAAGCCCATCTTTACAAACTTGCCCACTAACACTCTTGGATTTAGGCTGTAGGTGGTATTGAGTACCCCCCTCTTTGCCTACATGAATTGCCTACAGTGGAGTAATGTAAGCTAGCCTGCTGAAATGCTGGACAGACTGAACTGCAGTCAGCCCAGAAAGCAAAGCTCACCCTTTCTGTTGCTTTTCTATAGCTTTGCTAAACATTGCACTGGAATAACAAAGAAATCTTGAACGATATGACACTTCCAGGGAATGGCTCTGGTGCTGAAAGAGGAAGAAAAAACTCACTTGAAACTCCTAAGTAGAATTAAACTGAAACTTTATCATTATTAGTGTATCAAAAATGGCTCCGTTTTTCATGGAGCAAGTGTAGAAATTATTCATCTATCAAACCTTTGTAAAGGAAATCAGCTTCACCAAAGCACTGACATCCTCCCACCCCAAACTGGATCTGTTCTTAAGGCTTCGAAACGAAGCCTGACTGAAGTGAACTTTTTCCCCCTGACTAGCCGTATGCCCAGGTTACTGGGTGCCACAGCGATGGCCATGGTCTGCATACCTGTGTGGACGCAGACCGTGACCCATCTCTAGCATTCCCGATTGGGTTCGCTGTGGGGCACTCGGGTATTGGTGAGTGCTGGACATACGTGCTAAAGTGTTCTCGTTTTTTCTGACTGCTTGCATCACTGCCAGTCTGATTTTAGTGCAGTGTTTTTGGGCCTGACATTAGTTTCAAGAATGAGCCCAATAACTTCCTGCCCGTGGCAAGGGGCCAGTCTTGATGGTCTTACAGGTTCCTTCCGGTTCTGTGACTCTATGATTTCATAGACTCTATTTGAATCAGTCTTTAGAGTCATCACGGTTTAAGGTAAATTGCGTCAGATTTATATGAAGCTGATGCGTTGTGTGGACAAAGTACCAGGTTGCTCATTTTCCCCTCACTTTTTGAGCATCTAGAAACATTAAATAATTGTCCCCGAGACTGCCTCCTTTTAATTATTCTT